ATATGAGCATGTTTAACACGTTAGAATTAGAAACACGTTACATCAGGCTTTATTCATGCTAAAATCATTAATCATGCCTGCACTAGACAGTTCGCAAAAACCCCAGAAGTGCAAGTCCGGGCACCAGGCAATCAGCGAAGAGTCATACATTCTGTGTTGCCGACGATTCCCGAGATTTAAAGGGATAGTTCGAATTTTTTTGACATGAATCTGTATGTCATCCCCGTGACCAGTGTCGTGCATCCACACTGACTTACCCCCGACAGCGTCCGGTGAGCCGAGATACTGGCACAAGTTGGCTGGGGACAGTAAAATAAAGCGTTTTTCTTCTCAAAACAATATGTGTTCAAAAGAGTGATAGATTTGCATCACAAAACCACTGTCGAATAAAAAGTCAGACCTCATAATCGCTTGGCACTATTTTCTCTCCGTTCATATCACTGTGCGCGGCCGCCAGGGGACAGCAGCGCCTGGTTCACTTTGTTTACTCCTCGGAATGTTAGCGACAACGTGTCTGAATACAACACCGACAGTAAACACATTGCCTTTACCACAAAGCCAAGGGGAGATCATGTCAAAAAATCCGAACTATTGTGGGAAATATTATGTGGTGGTCATGCTAATTCACCTAATATTAGGCAGGCAAGGCAAGCAAGGCAAGTTTATTTGTATAGACTACACAAAGTAATTCAAAGGCTTTACAGAATAAGAAACATTAAATCATAATAAAAACAAATCAAAACATAAATAATCATGAAGATAAAATTAAAAAAGAGAGACATAAATTGGAGAGAAGAGTGCGGAATGAAAACCTTTCAGTTATATGCACAGTTAAACAGAAATGTTTTGAGTCTGGATTTAAACAGCGTCACAGAAGAGGCCTGTCTCACATGTTCAGGAAGGCTGTTCCAGGTTTTAGCTGCATGAACCTGAAACGCTGACTCCCTTGTTTAGTTCTGACTCTGGGCACCAGCAGGAGGCCGGTCCCTGAGGTCCTCAGAGTGCGAGATGTTCATATGACACTAACATGTCACAGATTGTACTTTGGTGCTCGGCCATGGAGAGACTTGTACACAAGCAGAGCTGCTTTAAAGTCTATTCTCTGAGGCACAGGAAGCCAGTGCAGAGACCTGAGCACAGGACTTATGTGCTCGTACTTCCTAGTTCGAGTAAGGACCGAGCTGCAGCATTCTGGATGTTCTGCAGCTGTCTCACAGCTCGTTTGGAAGACCAGTGAGCAGACCATTACAGTAGTCTAACCTACTGGACAAATGCATGGATAAGTTTCCCAAGTCTGCTTTAGACAGTAAACCTTTGATTTTTGCTATGTTTTTTAGATGGTAAAAGGCTGCAGATGTTATTGATTTTATGTGACTGTTAAAGTTCATATTATGGACTTTGGAATGACAACAGGGTGGAAAACACGTATGACTATCTATAGGTCTACATAACATGTTTTTTCTGTACTTGGAGTGCCATAAAGAACATGTTTTTCTGGACTTTGAGATGCCACGAAGCAGAAAAACGGACATATGTGGACCCCGTGGCATGTTCCCACCCATGATAAGGTGCACTGGGTCAGCAGTATTGTTCATTTTCTTGCTGTATATGCTAAATCAACAAGTTAATGTTTTGTCAAGATGTAGTATAAAGCTACCCCTGATTTTGAGTTGGTCAGACGTCGTCCGGGGTGGCAGTTGTACTTGGAAATCAACTTGAATCTCTCTCAATGGAAATGCTGAAATAAAGTGGCATGTTCTCTCGGATTCTCCATCTCCTGTGCTTCTTTTTAGGACACGCATTGAACCTTCCGAAAAAACCCACACTATCCCTTTAAATCTCGGGAATCGTCGGCAACACAGAATGTATGACTCTTCGCTGATTGGCTGCCAGAACAAAAGAGAATGTTTGGTGAATTTTATCAAGGGGAAAGACGTTATTATCCTTCTTTTGAGATTTGAGAAAAGCTTAATATACCAGTTATCCCTGTTAGCGGCGCATTACATACATCACGACCAAACAGCAGCGACTGGTTAAATAAAAAAAGTACCCGCCTCCTGTCGAGTGAACGAATCCTAATGCTGCGAGGTCAGACGGTTTCTACGAAGTGAAACCGGCTGATGAATCAGGCTATGTTCATATAGTGTGAGCACATGAATCTGTCATGTAGAAACAGAGGGAGGACCCAAAACGCAGGACTGCTTCAAAGTATTTAATGACCAATCCCAAAAAAAAATCCAAAACTTGAACTAAAATGCCATGACACGAGACAAGGAGAAACTTTGACAGAGACAATGGACCAACAAAGGGCAGAGGAGAACACAGGGTATAAATGCACACAGACACAGGTGAAGCACATGAGGGCGGCAAACAATCAAGACAGGAAGTAAAACTCAAAACTACAAGCTGACAGGACAAATGTCAAAATAAAGCACTAAAGGCAAACTACACTACAGGAAAGACATATTAAAATAAGCAAAAACAATGACTACAAAACATGAACCATGAGTTGTGAACTTTTAAACCCTCTGATTTGGTCGTTTTGTTTGAGGTGGAGCTGAGTGAAACCGATCCAGTCATCAGGCTAAGTTACAGGTCAGATCTGTGGAGAGGTGACTAACCCTTCAGAAAGAACTCTCAGTGTCTTTAAATAAACATTAAATCCTTCCGTGTGACATTCCAGACAAAGCAAAAACATTTCAAGTAGGTGGTGGAGCCTTGGTTTGAATAGTCAGTATTTACATGATTTACATTTTTAGAACCTTATTTTTTATGCTACAATAAAAGATTCCTGCCAGTGGAACAAGGAATTTGAAATATTTTCATTTTTCAGTCGTATTTGAATGAATGAGTCATATTTCCTTGTGTGCAGTGACAAAGTGACAACAGGAGGATTTAAAGAGGAGACAGAGACGAGTGGAGACGTGCAGGAGCAAAGTACCACCTCGTAAAAATCACTTTACAACTAAAGGAAACTCTAAAGGTGAGGGCGGCAGAAATGTGGTCAACAAGATAATCATGAGCGTATAAAATGAGCACATACTTGGCATATTTGTACAGGTTTGTCACAATAGTTACTGTGTCAATGTTAATGTCTGGAAACATGAACCTCGAACAAGACATTTATGACACATGTGACACGTTTCTGCTGTGAACGAGTCTCACTTCTGTCAACTACTGGAAACAAAAACTCTAATAAACACACGGTCGTTTTAACAATATCTTCTCCCGTTTCACAAAAATAAAACATTTCCAACACTTGAACACTTCCAAATACATTTATAAGCAACAGAACTGAACTAATGTTTAAATTTAAATACTAAAGTGGCACTTCGGTATTTAAGGGTAACTTGTTCATTAATTCAACGTTACAGTCGGTGTCATCAACATTCCCTGTGGATGTGATGCAAACTGTGAGACGTTTTTCTTGAAAATCAAACTCGGGACCATGAAAGCTCGGACTGATCACAGACTCCTGAAAATGTGCTGTTTAAATCAATTTTGGAGTTTTCAGACAATTGTAAAACTTATTTGACTGTTTGTTAATGTGTGTGTTATGTCTCCATAGCAACCGGTGAACCTTCTGCCAACACACATACATGTAGGACACCCCCGGCACGATATCACTACAAGTATCAAGTATCAATAGTCAGTTAATACTTGCACTGATAAATTAATAGTGTTATAGTATTTATATTAGGGTTGGGATATTTACGCGTTAATTACAATGAATTCATTACAAAGAAAATAATGCATTAAAAATATGAATGTATTTTATCGCAGTTTGCCAAACAACACTGAACGTTTGTCAGTGCACCATGTCGTCGTACGACAATTATACTGACGCACACAGTTCTGGCTACAACAGTGAAGAATAAAAGTGCTCTTGATCTGCTGGACGGTACATTTCTATAAAAAAAAAACGACTCGATGAAAGTATCGACCAAGGCGTCGTTTATTGCAAACTGTGCAGAAAAGAGTTTACAGATCACAGAAGCACTTCAACCCTACGACACCAGTTAAATGAAAACATGTGACAGCTGCACAGAACCTGCTGGAGCTGTTGGCGGGAGCAGTTCTGATCCGAGTACAAACAAGAGACGTCAGAGCCCAAACTCAAACAAACGACGGGCTTCAGGAAGAAAATGAGTATAAATGAGTAAGGCAAAGATTGTTATGTGATTAATTGACATTCATTATTAATTCCAAAGCCTGTAATGAATTTGATTATTTTGTTTTAATCAAGTCCCTTTTTTAGCCAAGCTGGCGCCAGTTGTGGGCCAAACACAAAATATTTATTGAAAAATTTCAAAACATCTGCATGTTTTCTTTTCTTTCGAGATCTGTAATGTTAAACCTTTTCTAATTAAAATAAATGTTTAATAATAGTTTTGCTTAAACATAAATAATGTCGTTATAAAATGTAGCCGACGGGCAGTTCTAATACATACTTGATATGATCTCCTGGGCCAAATATAATTATATTGCAGACCAAATTTGGCCCCTGGGCCTGAGTTTGACATGTCTGCACTAGACGGTTTACAAGAACCCCGGAAGTGTGAGTTCGGGCACCAGCCAATCAGTAAAGAGTCAGACATTCTGTGTTGGTAACGATTCCCGAGATCGAGGATTTAAAGCCGAAACAAAGAGAATGTTTGGTGAATCTTATCAAGAGGAAAGACGTTATTGTCCTTCTTCCTACGGGATTTGGGAAAAGCTTAATATACCAGTTAGCCCCATTAGCGGTGCATTACATACATCATGACCAAACAGCAGCGATAGGTTAAATAAAAGAAAGTACCTGCCTAATGTCGAGTGAATGAATCCTAACACTGCGAGGTCAGACGGTTTCCACGAAGTGAAATGGATTAGTGATGGATCAGTCCACCCCTCTTTGTACTACAGACACTAAATAAATCAATAAATAACTGTGTGTTGCTGCAGTCCCTCCTCCCACCGCCAGATGCCGCCGCCGCGCTCTGACCCTGTGACCCTCTCACCTGCGACTGCGCCCTGAACATCAGCAGCAGCTCCATCCTCTCGTTGGGCGTCAGGCTGGAGCGGTCGCAGGGCACGTGGGCCAGCTCCTCCCGGCATTTCATCGTCTTATTCACGCAAAACAAATTCACCACCACGGTGTCGTCCAGCCCGCTCACCGCGCACTCGTAAAACGTCCCGTTCAGCAGCGCCACGGACAGCCACATGATCGGGGCCACGCACGCTCCCGAGAAGATACTGAGCAGGACCCTGAGGCAGTTGAAGCAGTTCCCTCGAGGACAAAGTTTCAACGGGTTTAAGCAGCAGCCGGTGTAGAGTCTCCACAGTCTCGCGCTCATGAAGAGACCGAGAAGGAGCAAAACCGCAGCAGGGCCGAGCAAAAACGTTAATCCGTATGCAAAATTTTGTCCACGATTGCATGGACATTGGAAAGAAACCATGGAAAACACTCTCTCTCCTCCGATCGTGAGGAGCGCCATGAAGCTGTAGCCGATTGTGGCTTTTTGGTTCATGAAAAAACGCAGGACGGTCTGAAAGTTGTCCATGATTTCCGGCATTTTCTGCAAACGCTTAAAGAGAGGAGAGAAGAGACACAGAGAGAGTGAGACAGAAGAAAAGCAAAACAAGCCAAGCCTCTCTAAGCTCCGCCTGAAAACAGGAAACCCCCAGGCTCTGCTGTCTCCACTCCTCCGACACTACAAAACAGAAAAAGCTTAGACTCTTAAACTAAAGCTTTTTGTCAGATTTTACTCAAGTTTTATGTTACTCAAGTTACTTAAGATTATTTATTTTTGGTTTAAATTAAAATATTTGCTTTGAGTTTACACAAAAAAGAAAGAAGAATGACAGAGAAGAACATGAAATATTTTGCAGTGCACAGACGCTGTCATCTCACTCAGCAGATGGACGACAGGAGCAGGACTAGACCAGGACTAGACCAGGACTAGACCAGGACTAGATCAGGACTAAACCAGAACTAGATCAGGACTAGATCAGGATTAAACCAGGACTAAACCAGAAATAAAAAAAAAAAAAAAAAAAAAAAAACAGAACTAGATGAAGGCTAAATCAGAACAAAACCAGAACTAGACCCAAACTAAAGCAGGTTTAGACCAAGACTAAACCAGGACTAAGCAATGACTAGACTCGAACTAAACCAGGACTGGAGCAGGACTAAACCAGAAGTAAACAAGGACTAAATCAGAAAAAACAACAAACAACAAAAAAAAAAAAACAGACTAGACCAGAACAAAACCAGGACTATACCTGAAAAAACAAAACAAAAACAAGACTAGACCCAAACTAAACCAGGACTAAACCAGAACTAGACCAAGTCTAAATCAGAAAAAAACAAAGGACTGGATCCAAACTAAACCAGGACTAGTCCTGAACGAAACCAGGACTAGACTCAAACTAAACCACAACTAGATGCAAACTAAACCAGGACTAGACCAGGACTAGACTGAAACAAAAAAAAGAACTAGATCAGGACTAAACAGAACAAAACAGGACTAAACCATGACTAGACCAAGACTAAACAAGGACTAAACCAGAACTTGACCAAGACTAAATCAAAACAAAACCAAAACCAGACCAGGACTAAACCAGGAGCAGAATTGAACTAAACCATGTAGAACTATAACAGAACTAGACCAGAACCAGGACTAAACCAGAACTATATCAAGACTGAAATCAAGAATCAAACCACGTTTAAAATCTAAATAAATCTGGACTAGATCTGGGTTTAAGTCACTCTCCACATGCAAAAATGTCCACATGAACTAAAAACTGTTTTGTTTTTTGTTTTTTCCCCGTGCAGGTGGGACTAAAGCCGGTCCGAGGTCTAGAGCCGTTTCATGTCCCTCTTTTGGTTTCATGTCCCTCTTTTCCACTTTCATAATTGACGGGAAGAGGAACGGCTGCAGAAGAAGAGGAACTGCAGGGCCGAATAAACCAGTTCTGCACGATTATTGTTGTTATTCATCACGACATTCTACAGGCCAATATTTAAAGAACACATACTACACTAGTCTCTGATCTAGGTTTTTCAATCCCATCCACTTTATTTCATATTTCACATTTCATAAAAAGTGCTTCACAAATACGTACTAATAAAACAATAATAATATAATGATAAAATAAACGCTCAGATTTAATCAAACTAGTCTTTAAACAATAAAACCAGAAAAAGAGAGTAAAAGTGGGTCTTAAGACGAGACTTAACACACTCCAAAGTGGGGGCAGAGCGTTCCAGAGTTTATATCGGTCATGTCCTCTAGTTTTAAGTTTTGTTTTAGGCCCCACGAGCTGGAGCTGGACCTCGGACCTCAGAGTCCCGCACGGGTCCATTTTTGGAGACCCGTCCCTCCACCGCCCCCGTACAGTACAGCACCGCACCCGCCCGTTAACCCGCGATTTTATCAAAGTTAAACTGCAGATTTGTGTTTGTGTGTAAAACAGTTCTTGTCTGTAACAGAAATGATCGAGTTTAACATTTGTGGATTTATGTTTTGGAGATTTCATGGCAACGTACAATCAGGAGGAAAAACACTAGAGTCTGAAAAAACCCTCTTGTCAGGCTGTTAATCTGTGCACAAAAACAGCAGCCGACGACCACAAACCGCACTGAGCGTCACGACTTCCTCAACAAGTTTATCTGTGTGTGGTTTTTGCAGAGTCGTGCTAAAATGAACATGTTTAAAGATAAAGCAGTGAACAGGAGCTGTGGGTGGATCTGACTGTGAACGTGTTAAAAAGTAGGTTACACAAATAAAATGAATACTTGAGGAAACTTCTGTGTTTATAAAGAGAAATGGTTGTGTCTCAGTGCTAATGCTAATGCTAATGTTGAGGCATAATAAATATTACAACAATACACGCATCAAGAATCTCGGACTTCCGGTCATCGCGCAATGCAAACTGGGAAGGATTTTCAGAAAAAGTGAGCATCAAACCTCCATGTTTGTTTTCCCAGTGGGATGTGTCTATTGACAAAGTCGATCTTTTCAAGTCTTTTGAACCATATCACTTTTGTTTCTGGTTCTGATATTCTGTATTTAGTTTTGGGATTCAGACATGGTAATTGTGTGGTTGTTGGATCCTAACAGCGGAAAACGACTCGAGAAATTTGTTTGCGAACTCCATAAATGCAAAAGTGAATCAGATGTGTGTGACTCAAACCTCTGTTCAAACTGTTTCTCTTCCCAACGGAATTGAAAAATAGTGAAAGGTGAAGGTGATGGGCAGGATTGATCCACAGGAAGAACCAAAAAAGAAACATTTGACTGCCTAAATCATCCCGAGTTTACAGAGAACATTTTGTATGTGGAGAGCCAACAAAGCAAAACCCCGATCCCTCACTCAACCTCGGTTAAGAAATTAAAAAGTCAATGCCAAAGCAAAAGGCACCAACTGTTCACCAAGAAACACCTTCCACCGCAAAGAGACCAAGACATGATGTTGCTGTAAAACCACAAGAACAAGAAAGTGCAGCTCAGTCTGATTGTCTTCTGCACCTCTCCATTAACAAACGGGATCCCGCTTTGTTTGTTTTATGAGAGTTAACGATTACAATTAGGCCACTGTCGCGGCCCACGGGCAATGCCACCATGCCATGTCAGCGGGCATCAGTCACTGACATGAGTGCCAGTGTGTGTTTGGAAAGGGGAGAGCGCTTCGCACTGCTGAACGGTAACAATAGGCCCTACGCCACCCATGGCGCTCTGACCTAATAATAATATTAATAATAATATAATAATAATAATCAGGGTATCCTGGGTTTGACTACTCCAAATTTAAGACCTTTTTAAGATCACTTAAATGAAAATTAAGACCAACATCTTACGAAAAAACACCAGGTCTAATTCCAATAATGAAATTAGTCTGAAGTTAGTCCTGGGTTAGTCCTGGTGCAGCTCTGGTTTAGTCCTGTTTTAGTCCTAGTTCAGTTCTGGTTTAGTCCTAGTTCAGTCCTGGAATCAATTACCGGTACAATATGGCTACGGTTATATGAGGATCTGAACAGAAGACACAAAAGTGGCATCTTCACTTTTTATTCCGCGTTTAGACAAGCATTTTAGGAGGAAATCTGCGTGCCTACAGTGATGCAAAAGTGTGTGGAATTCGATTGGGTGCATGCCAAGCGGCTCGGTGGTGATGTATGTGACGTAAACGTGTACACAACCTGATTACATCTGACCAGAGTTTTGCATCTTGGGCAGTATAGATGAAACTAATTGTTTACTCATTGCCGCCGGCGCCAAAAACCAAAGTATCGTTTGTGCATACTCCAAATTAGACATTCATTCACGTTACGTTATTTCACTTTGTTGTTTTTTTAACCCTCCCTTCATTTAACAGTGCACTCCAGTAAACAGAAAAAAAGACTTTTAAGACCTACTATATAAAAAAATACAGTTGTAGGTAAAATAAACATCACAAAAATGTTACACTAAATTCTAACCAAAGTATTAACATTCAGGTCAAACTAAACCATGAAAAAGTCTTTATGCCGTCAGTGGAAATGGGGCTTAAGCCAAGGCAAGTTTATTTTGTATAATGCAATTCATACACAAAGTAATTCAAAGTGATTTACAGAATAAGAAACACATTAAAATCACAATACGAAAAAAAAATCAAAACATAAATAATCATCATAAAATAAAAAAGAGAGACATTAAAAAGAGAGAAGATCTTTTAAAGTGCAATACTCCAGAGTACCACCAGGGGGAACTGTACCACAGCTGGAGAACCACTAAACCTGACTCAAAAACAAAACCAAAGGACCTGTGAGGTTTTCTGTCCATGCCAAAACTTTTAACTGAAACGATGAGTGCAACTTTACACAAAAACAGTTTCAATGAGGAAGTTCTGTTTTTTTGTTTTTCACTTTTCGGGGAAGTCCACTCAGAGGCTACTTGTTTTGCCGGTTTGAGATTTACAGGAAACAAAAACTCACCTCCACACGGCAAAAGACGAGAAAATGTTGAGGTTGAAGGAGTGAGTGGTGTCATACTCGCAATCAAGATCAGATTTTTAGTGCTGTCAAGCGATAAAACACTTTTTAGTCCTGTTTTCATCCTTTTTGAGCCCTGTTTTAGTCCTAGTTTATTCCTCTTTTAGTCCTATTTAAGTCCCTTTTGATTCCTGTTTTAGTCCTGTTTTAGTCCGAGTTTATTCCTGTTTTAGTTATTTTTGAGTCCTGGTTTAGTCCTGTTTTAATCCTGTTTTAGTCCTGTTTTAGTCCGAGTTTATTCCTGTTTTAGTCCTGTTTTAGTCATTTTTGAGTCCTTGAGTTTATGAATAAAGCAAGGTATGTTCATAATGTATAGTGCCAAAATACATTAATAAAAAGGCAAAAGCACAGTAATTCCAAAAAAAAAAAAAGGAACTTTATTTTTTTGCCAATTCTTTGAGTGACTCAGATATGTCCCCCAACAGTTTCTTTATGTCCCTCAGTTCCCCTGCCACGTTGTTGATGGCATCAACAGTCTCCCTTTGAAGCTGCAGAACCGCGTCCGTGAGAACCTGGCCTCCGCGTGGGGTAGCTGAAGGAAGGGCGGCTGCTGCTGCTGCTGCGCTACCGAGGGGATGTCCATCTGCACCGACCTCCTCCCCCAGTGCTTGAGTTTCATAAAGAGCAAAGAAATTATGAATTAAATTAGTGTTACATTTAAGTGTCTGTATTCTTGATCCAGAAGTTACTACTGATTATTCATGGGCTAGGCCTACAGGATTTAATAAAAAATAAAAAGGTTAAAAAAAATTTTTTTTTAAAAAAGGCCAAAAATTTGCTACAGCAACATAACGTCACCAATAGCCATGTCCTTGCATGTTATTGTTTAATAATGGTAAGCTGAAATGAGATTAATTGATCAAATTCGCTTACCTGCCTCCTGCATGTCGGTGTCCCCCTCCTCTCCTGTGACTGCTCCAACCACACATTCTTCACCTAGAATATAGGCCATTCGCTGTTCTTGAAGAGTTAGTTGCGGGGTACTGGGGTCTCCTTCGGTGCCACACACACTTTGACGGTGCACACTTAATCGCTTTTTCACACTGACTTACAACCATTTCTTTTTTATGTCTGCGACTGTGCGAACAGTCCCACTCACCGCATTGCATGCAGTCGCTATCTGCTCCCACTCACTTGTTTTTTTTTGTGATGCCACAAGTGTGGCTTGCAAACAATATGGACTTTCTTGCATGGACTTGTTCCACTAGAACCTCAATTTCGGCTTCTGAAAAGTTCCTTTTCCTTGTAGCCATGATCAGTGATATTCAAAGGAAGACACACCAGGTGGGTCATTTAAATACCAATGAATATGCATTTCGTCTTTTGCATGGTCCATATAAGGGCTCAAAAGGCGTGGTCAGGGCGGATTGGAAGGCGGGTTGGCGTGCGACAGCCTCCAGCTTCAGGTGGGATCTATAAAGCCAAGATTGCGTGGTTTAGTGTGTGCGGTGGGTTTTCTAAATATAGAGTTTGCGTGGCGCACGCCTGTCGTAGCTACTAGGTGTACGCACTAACTTACGACAACTCCTGCGCAGTTTTTATAAATGAGGCCCCAGGTCTGTTTGTGACGATGAAACGACATTAGATCAGAAAATACAGTAACATGGTCCCTTTAAATTAAATCATGACAAAACTGTGTAAAGTGAAGAGAAAATATAGTTATTGTGATCAGACATTCCTATTTACAGCCCCAGTTTTGAGCCCTGTGTCCCCTGTCCCAGCAGATTTATCCACAACCAGTGATTTGTCCCAGTTTTATACAAGAAATGTTCCAGGTGTCCCTACTTTTGACCAGTTTACACCGCCAACAGTAAAGAGAGGCAGACATTGTCATTTGTCGAGGTAAAGTACAGAAAAGCTGCTTTTAAAAAAATCACCAAAACACAAGAAAATGTGCAATATTCACTCACATGTTAATCATGAATAAGACAAGTGCAGAAGTGATGAGATTCTCAGAAACTACAGGGTAAGACACAATCAGGTTTGGACAAATGTTCAATAACTGACCCTGATACAGTCAGTCCAGAGTCTGTCATGAAGTCGTGAAGCTGCTTGGATGAGAAACGAAACATGTTCACACTAAAAACAAAACCTGAGAGTCGAACTCAACACCAAATCAACTGTTCATAACTGTGTACATGCTGCTTTTATTGCCTTGTCAGCTGTTGTAGTTTTTTTTTTTTTTTTTTTGGCAATTTGAGTGAAAAGTGGGTTAATTTATAGACTAAGGCCTCGTTTACACGTACACGGGTATTTTTAAAAACGGAGACATTTCCCTTCGTTTGTACATGGAAAACTCCATTTTCACATTTGCGTGTAAAGTGAGATAAACGGAGTTTTAGGAGCATAGGAGCACTCATAAATCAGCAGCATGTAGAACTTTGTACAAACTCACCGCACATCAGCCCGGAGCAGAAGCTCTGAGCTCGGGCAGCAGCCAAACACACGGGAGCAGTCAGCGCGGGGTCCAGTGTTGGTCAGATCGGTCCGGAGTCTTCGTCCTCCATGTCCTGGTTCCAGACGGGGGCGAACAAGACCAGCGAGCAAAGAACTGGGTCCGAGTGCTTCAGTGCCGTCATCTGCGCACTGGGCTGCTCTGGTCCTCCGCACTCGACCGCGGTTGGTTCCGAGGTGGTGCAGCATCCGGACAGAAGTGTGAATCCCGTTTGGTTCGTTATATGTTGTTCTGAGTGTCCGTCTGCGCACGTGTTCTTTTTGTTTTGTTTAGTTTTTCCCGGGGAAAGCACATCTCAGGTGGAGGCACCGGACACCACCCCCGCTTCAGCTCATCCATTTCTTCTGCTGAAAGACTTTTCATGTGTTTGCATTTGCACACAGCTAATGGATCAGATCCATGAGAAAGATGAACAAGGGCTCGGAGGTCAGTGTTACTACCACTTCTTTAACAGATCTCTGGAGAGGCGAGCCGCTCACCAATGCACATTTTTCAAGGTATTTGTGAGTTATACGTACAACTGTAATGAAATAAAAGCTACAGGTTTGAGTCTAATCCAGCTGCGCCCAGAGGCTCGGTGTAGTTATGACGGCGCTCGATGGTGTATTTATGCGGGTCGGTGTAAATGAAAACTTTTTTGAAAACAATGCTGTGTGCACGATGTATTTTGGAAAACGGAGGGAGGGAAATATTCGTTTCTCAAAATCCCCAACTATGTGTAAACGTAACCTAAAACAGAATAAACTCAATGTGTGCTGGAACCATCACACTGTTCCTTGTCACTCAAGACGTTGCTTACTTTTTAGGGATTCTTTTTATTTTTTTTCATTTTTGTTATGTGCAGTACTGTTTTGTTTATAAAATGTGCTGTACAAATAAACTTCAGTTGTGAACTTTACAGAATAACACTGAAAACAAAACAAAAAACACTAGGGTGAGGGACCATGGACTGAACCAGAATTAAACCCGGACTAAAACTGGACTATGATAGAAACAATCAAAAAAACATTGGTATATGACGGTTTCCATTCAGGGCTCGTCATCATCATCTCTTGGAGGTGGACATGGTGACATCAGTCCCGGTGAGAGCGGGTGCATGTCGTAGGGCTCTATGATCCTCTCAGGCCTCTTGAAACCACGCAGTCTGCTGTAATATATATAAATATATATAAATATATATATATATATATATATATATATATATATATATATATATATATATATATACACACACACACACACACACACACACGTATATAGATATACGTATACATATATAAATATATAATATACACACACATATATATATACATATATATATATATACACACTCTTTCGCGTCATCTTTTTGCTCTGCACATGTTTGACATCAGTCCCACTGACATTGGGGGCAGGTAGTGGCTGCTCTCCTCAGGCCTGTTGAAACAGTGCAGTCCACTGTAATATATATACATATATATACATATATACACACACACACATATATATACACACTTGGGCGCGTCATCATCGTTTCGCTGTGCACATCTTGACATCACTCCCACTGAGAGCGGGGTCATGTCGTAGGTGTCTATGATCCTCTCCTCAAGCCTGTTGAAACAGTGCAGTCCGCTGTAATACATATACATATATATACATATATATACACACACACACACATATATATATATATATATACACACATACATACATACATACACACACACATATAAATACACACACACACACTCGGGCTTGTCATCATCATCACTTGGTGGTATATATATATAAAAAAAACACACACACACATATATTATATATTATATATATATATATATATATATATATATATATTATATATATATATATATATAATATATATATATATATATACACACTCATAATCATCTCTTGGCTGTAGCAATGGTAGGTTGTCCGGGTCTATGCTCCTCTTCTTCTCAGGCCTCTTGAAACCGTGCAGTGCGCTGTAATACTGCCCCCTGCAGGATGACAACAGCATGTTAATAATGATTGTTCACAACCTCGGTGTCTATATTTGTTTTTTTGTTTTTTTTATCAATTTAAATAAAATGTCTTAATTTGTTATGGCTTTAAAGCTGCCATCTGTAATTAAGAAATTAAGAAAACATTAAACTCAGAAAAGCTGCTCTGCCCCAGACTTTACTTTCCATCTGCCGTCCTCAGGCAGGTACAAAAAGGCTAGTGTTGTAGTCAAGAGCGCAATAATTGAGACCAAGACCTGTCCAAGACCACAGGGTCCCAAGACCAGGACAAGACCAAGACCTCTGAGAGTCAATACCGAAACAAGAATGAGACTTTTAAAGGTCAAGACTGCGACAAGACTGAGACCACGACCCATCGAGACCAAATGACATATTTATGTGTGTTTTGTATTACACTTATTTTGGCATATATATATATATATATATATATATATATATATATATACATATACATACATACACACACATACCCACAGATGAATGCTGTCGTTGTGTCCTTGGGCAAGACACTTAACCCACCTTGCCCACAGTGTCTGCGTACATTGGTGTATGAATGTTTGTGTGAATGGGTGAGTGGTTCCTTGTTGTAAAGCGCTTTGAGAGCCTTGAAGGTGGAAAAGCCCTATAGAAAAATGTGACCATTTACCATATACACATATATACACACACATATATATATACACATATATATACATATACATATGTGTGTGTGTGTGTGTGGGTGTATATATATATATATATATATTATATATATATAATATATAATATATTATCACTCATCGAGTGTCAGACCTCAAGACCGAGACAAGAGTGAGTCCAAGTGCCTTCAAGGCCGAGACAAAACCAGCAGTTTCAAGGACAATTATTTGTATTATTTATTATTATTTTTTGTTCAAGGGCCTGCAGAACAGATTGTGAAGGCCTCAGACAGATTTCTTTGACTTTGACTCTGCCTGGCAACAAATGATGTCAGAAATGTGATTGGTCAAATGTTTTAATATGAAAATCCATGTCTGGAAGCAGCACAAGCATCGGAAAGCTCTGAAAGGAAGAAGACAGACCATTTGGAATTTTTTAATAAATATAATTAACATCAGTCTGTGATTCAGATATATTTTTTTAGGCCAATGTAGAAGACCTTGCAGGCCCCGATGACCCATCACTGCCTTCTACTTTTTGTTCAGTAGAGATTGTCAATTTCAGGTCTTAAATTATCCAAATGATTGTAGTGAAGGTGTTTGGAGTTTAAAGTGTGAGAGCATTTTCTCTTTGAGAGAAGGAACCTAAATATTCATTCACACATGTCAAACACAACTTCTATATTTTTGATGAGGAAACAACATTATAACATAGATCAGAAAATGGCGACATATCTGTATTTTAACTTACCCTGTTTTGTCGCGGGGGATGTAGAGGGAGGAGATCTCCTGCCAGTCCTCGTTTAAAGGTGTGTAAAAAGAGCCTGGTCTTCCAATGGTGTGGTTGAAGAAGCGAAAGACATTGTACTCGGCCAGTTCCTTGGCGTGTCCTGCCGAGTACGAGTCGAAGACAGTGTCCTCCTCCTGGATGTAGCGCCTCCAGAATTTCATCTGGAGGTAACTGACCGGAGAACAGCACCGAGCCACACAGATGAGGGCCAAGTAGAAAAGGATCATGGTCGCAATCAGCAGCCAACCCGCAACCTGAGGAGAGAGAGGACAGGTGCAGAGACAGAGGAGCAGACAGGTGCAGAGACAGAGGAGCAGACAGGTGCAGAGACAGAGGAGCAGACAGGTGCAGAGACAGAGGAGCAGACAGGAGGTTAAGATATTTAGTATGTCATTCTTTTCATGTGACTCGTCCTACAGCCAGTGCTGAGGAGACAAAGAGGAGTCGGACAGGAGCAGTGAGCTGCTGCTGTACAGTGCCCAAGGAGCCATTTCCAGATCTTCATCTGGCTTAGTCAGGACTGCCTCACCTATTGTGCAGATTTTGCACAAGACCCTGCTCCTCTGCATGTTCTCTCTGTGTTTGAGCAGAGCCAAACTCCACAGAGAAAAGCCCGGGCGAACCCAGAACCCTCTTGCTGTGCAGAACAGTTTTAAAACACATTACTTGTTTTAGTTCACATTACAAGTTCCTAATTTCATTATTTTCTACCATACACTGCCACAGCTGCCCTGGGGCAGACTGCCAGAAGCAAGGCTGCGAATCCACCACCACCAACACTAGACACTAAATACAGTTTTGGACCAACAAAAAGTAATTAGTTGGATAAACATTACACTCACACTTCATGGACTTGTCACAAAGAACCAAAAGCAGTTTTCTAAAGCCTGAACAAAACAAAATCGTCACCACAAACCTGTGACTCTGCTTTGATCTCGAGGAGCACCTCGTCTCTCTTGTCTTGAGTCACATTTCCAACTACTCCACAGGGGAATGTGTGTAGCTCCTTTAAGCAGTCTGCCTCCATCTCAGTCCTTTTGCACAAATGAGCGTTAAACAGTGTCATGCTGGTCCCTGTCATGGCGCACTCGATGTAAACCCCATTCAGAAGAGCCACTGCAATCCAGGTGCTCGGAGCCAGGAAAACAAACGTCGAAATCTGAAAGATCACATTTGCAAGAGACTTCACTTTATGGCAGCTGCAACACGCTTTCTTGTTTTTTTGCTGCCTGTTTGTAGTGGCTCCTTCCTCCTTTCTGTGACACAAACCTGTCACCAATTTCCATGTTTTCTTGGAAAAAATAAAACCAAGAGTCATCAATGCCAAAGCAGGAACAAGCAAAAACACAAAGCCATAGAAGAAGTTGAGTTGGTTGCAGGGGCATTGGAAAACCGCTTTTGAGAAAATCTGTTCACTCCCTGCAGTGAGTAACGAGATCAGGCCCAAGCCGAGGCTGGTCTGCTCGCTGGCGAAGTTGAGGATGGTTTTAATCTTGTCCATTTTGCTGCAGAAGTGAGACAAAAGCTGCAGCGGGTTTTGTAGTAACTTGAGTTATGGGTGTGTCTTCCTCTTTTGAACTGAAGCACTCTTCTCCCCTTACTTAAAATGAGGGCAGAAACACCTTTGGTTTCCCTGTGTCATGTGCAGGAGGAATTTGACTGTTATGTAAAAATAAATTCCATAAAACTTGTTTTCTTACTGTGAGGGGGCCTGCCTCTTCACAGACTTGATCAGACTTGTAACTTAGCCAGATTGCTCCACCTGGTTGATTTCGCAAAAACAAAAAACAGCAAAACTCTGTCCCCAGTAAACATCACGTCTTATGGACGTGCAGATTATACCGAGATTGTGTCCGTCCGTCTAAGACCAATTCTGGACTAAAAAATGACTATGACCCACTTGGACGTCAATCTGCAGTTAAAAGGCCCATGTCATGCAAAATCAACTTTTCAGCGCTTTCTACCTTCTAAGAGTGATGTGTGGGCCTTGAATATGTGGCCGAACTGGTTTTTAGATTGGTTCGGTGATGTTTTAACAAATTTCAGCATATTTCTGCCACCCTCCTACGTGACAACGAACATGAGCCTGCTACAATAATGATGTAGCCAGCTACAGCTATCTCGCGTTTGACGTAGCAGAGAGCGCTTCACACCCGGCCCCCCTTTCCCCCAATCCACCGTCTCTACCACCACCCCACCCTCCACCACCTCCACCCGCCTCCACCACCTCCACCACCGCCTCCACCTCGCCTCCACCACCTCCACCCCGCCTCCACCTCGCCTCCACCACCCCACCACCTCCATCCCTCCACCCGCCTCCACCACCTCCACCCCGCCCTCCACCTCCACCTCGCCTCCACCTCGCCTCCACCTCGCCTCCACCCCTCCACCCCCCTCCACCCCGCCTCCACCTCGCCTCCACCCCCGCCTCCACCACCTCCACCCCGCCTCCACCCCGCCTCCACCACCTCCACCACCGCCTCCACCCCCTCGCCTCCACTCGCCTCCACCCCGCCTCCACCACCTCCACCCCGCTCCACCGCCTCCACCTCGCCTCCACCCCGCCTCCACCCCGCCTCCACCTCGCCTCCACCCCCTCACACACCGTCCTGTGTCTGCACCGTACACATCTGCTGTTCTGCGTTATTTATCTTTATTTTTCGCTTCAAACACACTTTTTGTAACCATGTCCTCGTGGAGAAAGTGCGCATTTGGCTGCGATGGCAAGTCGAAATTATTTGTCATGCCGACAGAAGAAGCAAGGCGTGCTAAGTGTCTGGAGTTTATTTCTGAGAACACAGACAACAGGTCCCTGAGAATATTTTTGTTTGTGGGCGACACTTCACCGAAGACGCTTCAAGAACTACAGGTATTTTAAAACTGGACTTACAACGAAACAGAAGCGACACTTTGGAAAAGGATGCTGTTCCCACGATACCAGGATCCCGTGATGAAGATCCTAGAGCTGTAAGTTTACGGCTAGTAAACCGCTGAAGAGAACTAAAAGCAAACTGCAGCGTTTATTTTTTAAGATTATCTGACATATAATTTCAATCTGCATGTCATCTCCCTTGTTCTACCTGTTTTAGTTTGACAAACGTTACGTAGTCCTACGATATTACATTGATGCTAACAACATAGACTACTTCTTATTCTAGTAATTTGTCATCAGCGCTTCTGCAGGATAACAAAATGGTGATTACACCTTACACCTCAGTCAGTACGACCACTGGTGTTTAGTGGTCGCCTGTTCACATTATGACCTCCTCATTTGATCAAACATTATTATAGGATTCAAGTTTGCCCAATTATACCTTCTGTACGTTAAAGGAAAATGTTTATTAGTTTAAACAACTAAGTAGAGTATAAGTAGAGTATTTGAATATATTATCAATTAATAATGTCTTAAACTGTCAAAGTCATTTCTAAATTAATACAATGTTCAATTGAGAAATGTTTAAAATATGAAATTCTAAACTTTTTTTTTTTCTTAGAACACTTTGGAATTCTAAGAAAAAAAAAAGTTTAGGATTTTACATTTAAAACATTCACGGCTACAGCCAACTGTAAACTGGGACATTTCAGAGTCCCGATTAACTTTTGGTCAAATTTCATGCAAGAAATGCAGCTGAGATGAAGGTTGAGACTGACTGATGCTCGCAGTGGCCGTGAATGTTTTAATCTAAACATGTAGGTGCTCGGAGCCAGGAGAACAAACGTCGAAATCTGAAAGATCACATTTGCAAGAGACTTCACTTTATGGCAGCTGCAACACGCTTTCTTGTTTTTTTGCTGCCGTTTGTAGTGGCTCCTTCCTCTTTCTGTGACACAAACCTGTCACCAATTTCCATGTTTTCTTGGAAAAAATAAACCAAGAGTCATAATGCAAAGCAGAAAAGCAAAAACACAAAGCCATAGAAGAAGTGAGTTGGTTGCAGGGGTATTGGAAAACGCTTTTGGAAAATTGTTCGCTCCCTGAGTGATAAGAGATCAGGCCCAAGCCGAGGCTGTCTGTTCACTGGCGAAGTTGAGGATGTTTTCTTGTCCATTTTGCTGCAGAGTGAGACAAAAGCTGCAGCGGGTTTTGTAGTAACTTGAGTTATGGGTGTGTCTTCCTCTTTTGAACTGAAGCCTTCTTCTCCCCTTGCTTAAAATGAGGGCAGAAACACCTTTGGTTTCCCTGTGTCATGTGCAGAAATTTGACTGTTATGTAAAAATAAATTCCTAAAACTTGTTTTCTTATGTGAGGGGCCTGCCTCTTCACAGACTTGATCAGACTTGTAACTTAGCCAGATTGCTCACCTGGTTGATTTCGCAAAAACAAAAAACAGCAAAACTCTGTCCCAGTAAACATCACGTCTTATGGATGTGCAGATTATACCTAGATTGTCCGTCCGTCTAAGACCAATTCTGGACAAAAAATGACTATGACCACTTGGACGCAATCTGCAGTTAAAAGGCCCATGTCATGCAAAATCAACTTTTCAGCGCTTTCTACCTTCTAAGAGTGATGTGTGGGCCTTGAATATGTGGCCGAACTGGTTTTAGATTGGTTCGGCGATGTTTTTAACAAATTGCAGCATATTTCTGCCACCCTCCACGTGACAACGAACATGAGCCTGCTACAATAATGATGTAGCCAGCTACAGCTATCTCGCGTTTGACGTAGCAGAGAGCGCTTCACACCGCCCCCCCCCCCAATCCACGTCTCCACCACCACCTCCACACCTCCACCCGCCTCCACCACCACCTCCACCGCGCCTCCACCACCTCCACCCCGCCTCCACCCCAACCTCCACCCCCTCCACCCCTCAACACGTCCTGTGTCTGCACCGTACACATCTGCTGTTCTGCGTTATTTATCTTTATTTTTCGCTTCAAACACACTTTTTGTAACCATGTCCTCGTGGAGAAAGTGCGCATTTGGCTGCGATGGCAAGTCGAAATTATTTGTCATGCCGACAGAAGAAGCAAGGCGTGCTAAGTGTCTGGAGTTTATTTCTGAGAACACAGAAACAGGTCCGAAATATTTGTTTGTGGGCGACACTTCACCGAAGACGCTTCAAGAACTACAGGTATTTTAAAACTGGACTTACAACGAAACAGAAGTGACACTTTGGAAAAGGATGCTGTTCCCACGATACCAGGATCCCGTGATGAAGATCCTAGAGCTGTAAGTTTACGGCTAGTAAACCGCTGAAGAGAACTAAAAGCAAACTGCAGCGTTTATTTTTTAAGATTATCTGACATATAATTTCAATCTGCATGTCATCTCCCTTGTTCTACCTGTTTTAGTTTGACAAACGTTACGTAGTCCTACGATATTACATTGATGCTAACAACATAGACTACTTCTTATTCTAGTAATTTGTCATCAGCGCTTCTGCAGGATAACAAAATGGTGATTACACCTTACACCTCAGTCAGTACGACCACTGGTGTTTAGTGGTCGCCTGTTCACATTATGACCTCCTCATTTGATCAAACATTATTATAGGATTCAAGTTTGCCCAATTATACCTTCTGTACGTTAAATTCGTATTCGTATTCTGATGGATAAAATACACACAATATATTTTATGTACAACTGGACTCATTGGAGAGTTTACAAATATTTATTTTATGCTCAACTATAGACAAATATGCAAAGATTTCCCAAATACGCACGGATTTCGATTCTTTGCGCACAAATTTTTTTGAAAGCTTTCTTACTCCACAGACATTCACATGGACAGTCTGGTGTAATAATAGATTTTCTTCGGGTGTTTTGTGGAGTGGGTAAGACTGTTTTTAGTGTCAGGAGAACTTTGACCATTGACATGCACTAGTCTAACACCAGGAAACCTCTGCAAATACAAGGACTGGATGGAATATTTAAACAAGTGTCTCCACACGTCTCCAACACTCTGGCTCACGAAATATGCTCCTATGTCCAAAATTCCAAACTGTCCCTTTAAACCTAAACACTGGGATAAAAAGCGTCAGTGGTCGTTCGTCTGGACAGTGTTTAGAAATGGAGACATTTTGAATGCCATGTTATTTTACAAATTGTTTTAGAGCAAGGGTCTCAGACTCGCGGCCCGGGGGTCAACTGTGGCCCTCGGAAGGATTTTTTGCGGCCCTCCACTTAATTCCAAAGAATAATGTCAGTGCGTCCAGCGGTAGATGTACGCACAATCCCACCCCCTACCGCGGGCCGCACTGACAGATGAAGCTGCAATCGGTGCCCATGCAGATTCACAACAACAGATTATTAATGCAGCTTTACATCCCAAAACTCAACTTACAGCAGTTGTGAAGCAACGAGTCTAAGCGGATATGTTAAGACGAGTACACGTGCACATACGGCGTTTTTTTTTTCCATGCAACCGATATTTATTGAATACTCAATGCGGCCCAGCCTCCCTCAGACTTTATCTAATGTGGCCCCCAGGTAATTTGAGTTTGAGACCCCTGTTTTAGAGGAAGAATGTTGAGTAAAGTAGTCAAAGATAACTGCAGAGAAAGAAAGAGACAGTTTTAAAAGAGACAGTTTCTGTATTTTCTTGGACAAAATAAAACCAAGAGTGATCAACGCCAAAGCAGGAACAAACAAAAACACAAAGCCGTACAAGAAGTTGAGTTGGTTGCAGGGGCATCTGAAAACCACAT